CTGGGTAAGGTGAGGCAGGGGGCAGGGTGGGGTGCCATTGCCACGGGGCAAGGCAAGGCAAAGCAGGGGCCGCCTTGACACCATCGGCCCCTGCACACAGAGGCCAGCGAGCGCATGGGGGCTGACGGTGTCTGTCAGCAACCACAGCCTGCCGGCCCCTCGACCAGCGCACACTGGGGCTCTGCAGTCTGCTGCGAATACTGGGCCAGCCCTCTAGCAACAGGTGGAGTAGGGGAGGGGGGAGGTGCGTGATGAAGAAAGTCAGAAAAGAAATGGTTTGGGAAGTGAGGGCATCCAGTGGTGGATGGGGCAATCTCTCCAGCTCTGCAGTGGCAGAGGCGCTCCACCTGCCGCTTCCATGGCTGTGTGGGCAGAGCTGCGAAGAGGGTTCGGAAGCAGAGTGAAAGGGAAGAGGGTGGGTGGGTAGGTGAGGGGGGATCTGCCGAAGCCGTCTGAGAAGACAAAAAGCAGCCCCGCCTCGCCCACCTCCAGCAATTCAGAGAAGCCGCCTCTGAGCTGGACAGACGGCCAACAGCTGAGGCAATGCAGTGGGTCGTGCCCAGGAAAAGGAGAGCATGCGTGGCCAGGAGGGATGGGATGGGGAAGGAGGGAAACCAACCATGCCAGGATGCATCCGGCCAAGTGGGACCTCGGCGAGTTAGCAGGCGGCTGGTTGAAGAGAGGGGCAGTTGCAGTTCTGCCTGCTTTATTACACGGCAGGCTGAGCAGGAGGCGACGGTGGCAGTGATCCCTGCATCGCCAGGCCCAGCCGGCAGCAGCTCTGGAAGCGAAGATGTGCCACCCATCCTCACACTGGTGGGGGTGGCGGCGGGTGAAGGTGCGCACACCCCTCACAGCTGCTGCTCCGCATCGTTCCACGTGAACCCCCAGCTCCTTGCTGTCTCCATCTGCCAGGGAGGAGCCTGGTAAACAGGCTGGTTGGGGTGGGGGAGGTGCCAGTACCACTGCCATGAGGCAAAAGGGGATCAGACCCACACGCCCGCTTCCCAGTATTCTGCTGCAGCCTCTCACCCCACCCCACTGGTGCTGCAGCTGATTTCAGCAATGCTGCCACATCACGGCTGCAGCAGGATACCAGGAAGTAGGGTGCATGGGTCCAATCCCCCTTCCCCCACTGGCTTTGTCTCGTGGCAGCAGCATGGGCAGCTCCATCCCCACCCTTTTCCCTGGCTCCATTAGCAGCAGCAGCTCCCTCAGCGAGTTCCGGCTTCATCACCTTCACCGAAATACGGAGGCCTTGTACAGCCGCCATTGCCCCACAGGCCCCACTACCGCCAAAGCAGGGAGAGACTGGAAACAGCAAAAGTGAGAATGGATACACTGACCGGCTGTGTAGAGCGCCATTCGAGGGAGCTGCTGCCTGCAACGGAGCCGGGTTGGGGGGGCAGCTGCCAGTGCCACTGCCACGAGATGAAGCTGGTGGAGAAAGGGGGATCGGACTCACATGCCCACTTCCCGGTATCCTGCTGCAGCCTCTCACGTCACCCCAGTGATGCTGTGGCCGATTTTGGCAATGCATCATGGCTGCGGCAGGATACCAGGAAGCGGGGCACATGGGTCTGATCCCCCTTCCCCCACCAGCTTCACCTCGTGGCAACTGCATGGGCAGCTCCCCCCCACCCGTTTCTCCAGCTCGATTACCAGCAGCAGCTCCCTCAGTGAGTGCCCCACCGGTATGGCTAGTTCCTCTGCTGATGCCACAGCACAGGCAAGGGGGTAGCGGGGGCTTCAGTCTGAAGAAATAGCTTGTCCTCTTCCACTTCCATGGGCTCCAGCTTGGTCGCCTTCACCGAAATACAGAGGCCCCGTACATCCTCCATCGCCGCACAGACCTCACTACCACTGAAGGAGTGCCAGAATGGAAACAGGAAAAGTGAAGGCGGAAGCTATTATGATGAACTCTGTGCTGGGGCGATGACGCGTATGCCCAGAGAGGGCTCTGCGTGACACCTCTGGCACGTGTGCCATAGGTTCGCCACCACTGCACTATAACTTTCCTCTCAGCTGATCGTACCACTTCAACTTCAACAAACCCATATGCCAAAGAAATCTGCAAACAACCTTTTAGTCTGGCTTACTTTTAAGTTATCATGATGGTTCTAACCCAGATGTCCTCAACCTTTTGGGCACCAAGGACCGGTTCTGTGGAGAAAGGATTTTCCACGGACCGGAGAGTGTGTGCTTTTGTGTACTGCCTGCATCCCACGGATGGGGCTTTGCTTGTTTGGGTGGACCGGTTGCTGGCATGCCACGGCCTGGTACCAGTCCACAGGGGGTTGGAGACCCCTGTTCTAATCTATGAAAGAGAAATTTAAGTGGTGAGGTGCTAGATAAGATCCATTACTCGCCTTATTAAAGGCGAATAATGGATCTTAGGCTGAAAACATATTCTCAGTCTCCAGACTGTTGGCCATCCAGAACCTAGAATGCAACAAATTTGAATGATAAATGCTACTGGGATCTAGCCATTTTTTCTCGGGATTGAAGTCAGGCTTCTCATTTGCAACCCAATTGGACAACTCTGTCAGCCATTTCTAGGCAAGGTTGCATGGAGAGGAGGGCCTTTTCTAACTTCCCAAATCATTGCCTGAATCTTGTGAAATTTTTCTCATTTTTCCTAGATTTTTATATAATTTAGCAAAATTATATAAGAATTGGTTTAAAAAACTTGTTACATTTCACTGAGATTTGGAATGGATCACTGAAAAGACTTGCTATTTGCAATTTACTAATCACGGCTTGTGATTTTATGTAATGCATGAACCAAGACATTTGTTATTTTATAAGCCATGGCTTTTAATTTGTATGAACCACTTTTGTCACAAAAGGTATATCTAATCAAATTAACAATACAGTAAGGTAAAATCCTGAAACTTCTAAGCATATAATAATGCCCATTTTTAAAATTCTGCATTGTTAAATGAAGCAAATATTGAACAAGCTATTTGGAACTAGTTATTTTACCTATTTTTAAAAACTTTCTCATATAATTTCTCCTGTAACCTTCACATGAAAGTTTGGCTGTCCTTTGTGTCACTAGTAAACTCAAGGGCAACAAATGAAAAGTAATCAGTATGTTCAGATACAGTGCAAAGTACAACAAAGAAATGTTACATGGAAAACATCTCCCAAGCACCAATGAAAATTTCCTTGTACATGCAGAGCTAGATATTTCTTAAGTAAGCAGCTGATATAATAATCTTACATAAGAGACCAAAAAAAAAACAAAAAACCCACAGGAAATTAGGGACTTAAGTTGAATGTGCAGTACTGAATTAGTGAGACTAATTATATTGAATATAGGCTGTAATATTTGAAAATACCAAGGATCTGTAAAAGAGATACAATAAATGTACATATTTCAAATTATTTTCACTATGGAAAAACATGAATCAACATATATGCAAACATTTCTTGTGGATCAGTATAAGAATATTCCACAAATATTTTTCATGATTTCACCATCACAAGAAGAAATAATAATTACAGGATTAAAGTACAGTATAGTATACAAAATACCTCATTACACACAGACGTGAAAAGCATAGACTTCTGAAAGTCAAATTTCAATAAAAATAGAGAACTAAACACACTCTATCTTATCCAGGAATCTCAGGGTTTGTTATGGTTGTCAAGATGTTTTGTTTTTAGTTTTTTGTGAGCTGCTCAGGATTATGGTTCATAATAAGGGTGATTACATAAGTCTTTTAAATAAAATACCCAGAATATTTGACTTTTCCTAAATATAACACAGTATAATAGGGGAATAAAAAAAATGGCTATCACGAATCATTTCCATTCTGATAAAATGGTGCTGGAGATGTTTTGTCTTTCATTCTATTTAAGTCAGGGATGGGCAACTCGCAACCCCAAGATTGCAAAACACTCTAGAAAACCTGAGTGCTCTCTTTGACCATGATGACAAAAAGCTGACTACATAATTTCAGGCCATTTGAAGTGGGAAATGGTGAAGTTATAAAAATACATTCCCAGCTCTCATCTCTCAGATACTAAAGTTGTTTCTTGGTCATCAAAAGAATGGACATCCTCACCTTACATAGTCTTTGTAGTAAGAGCAGAAGGAATATCCTAAGACAATGACATTTTCTGAAGGGAAGTGCCTGGTCCAAGGTCACCCAGCTCTGTGCCTCAGAGGACCAGAACCTGGATTTTCTCACATACAACCTAGCATTTTACCCACATCATGCTGGCTTGCAGTGAATTTGAACAATATACATTTTTTTAACACTTTTAGCTTTGATACAGTATGTCTGCCAATCATGTATACTCAATTGCCCATCAAAAATAAGATCTTTAAATAAGATCTTAAGCATAGTACTATGTATGTCTGATCAAAATTAAATGCTACTGAGTATAGCAAACATAAGATTTTAATACTAGGGTTTTACTAGTTTTCGCTTGCTATATAACTTTTCAGTTCTTCAGACATGTTCATGTTTAAGGCTTTAACATGTCTATGCCTCAAAAAGACAGTATCAGCAGAATATCAGTTGTTCAGTCATTTTACTTAAAAATCAAATACAACTTGTCAGCTTCTGAGGAGTTATGAATTGTAATTGGAATGTTCTAGAGAAATCTCCACTTGAATGTGTTGACAGGAACACTCAAAACTACGTACATACAATGTATGCAGCTTATCAAGGGAAGTTGTTACTATTGTATCTGTTTTGATAACACCTATTGTGTTGGAAGTATAACAAGTTCTGAAAAGTAAGTTACATCAAGAGAAAAGAACATTTGATGTCTATTAGTTTTCGATTAACCAATAAAAATGCTTATCAAATTACTTTAAAAAAAGTGATTGTGGGCACGTATGTGCTGTTATCAGCTTTTGCTGGTGATGGATATAATCTGTATGACCTTCAGAGAAAAAAGGTATAAAACCAAAATAGGGTTGCCAAATCATTGTGCACCAGTGGAAGTTTGGTTTCTGCAGCTCCTAGATCTCAAGGTGGAAAATGGCAACTTTGAATGAAAAGAAGACCTGCAGCCAAAGAATGGAAAATTTCCAGCGTTTTTTATGGAATCCAGACACAGGACAGTTAATGGGAAGAACTTTGATTAACTGGGGTATGCAATAACATTTTTTTTAAAGTATGATTTTAGAACTTTTGGAATTTGTTCTAAGACCAATAATTAGTACTGAAAGCTGCTTTACAGAACATTGAAGTCAATTACCCAAATATTACTTATTAATATTACTTATCAATAGTAATTATTAAAAAATTAATAATTCTGAGTCCATGCTAGCATTCCAATTGATATAAATTTCTTATAAATAGCAATAGATTTGGGATGATGCCAGATGCCTCTTCACTCAGACTAAACCTAATTTAGATTATAAATGCTTTGAAATTATGTTGCAAGGGCCAAGATTTGGATAAGGCGAGGACCCACTGTATCCTTAGCTCTGTCCTACTGGATTTCCAGCTTGCCCTCTTTCAGTCTTTATCTCAGAAATTCCCAGGCTCAGATTATGTTCATTCTGGAGAGAAAACTCTCAATACATTTTATGGCCCTAAAAACCCACTGAAACTAGACAGCTGCTTCCTTGCAGGTGAGACAACTGGCTTGGTATAAGACCTGAGGAAAATGAAGTATTAGTCTAAAAGAGCTCAGAATACAAAGAAACACATCACATTTTTCTCTTTGGTTAATTTGGAAACATGTATTAGAAATGCAAGGAGAGTGCATGCATGTGTATGTGAGGAAAAGCTAGCTAAGCATACTTCAAATTTGGAATGGCTGGTCTAATCTAAAATATAATTTGCATAGTATTAAAAAAAAATTGTGCACGCTTCTAGTTGCTTAGAGCTGTCATTTGACTTCCAATTAGTCCCATTTCTTTTTTTACACTTTATTCACCAATATATTATTTCTGAAGGAGACAATTAATTGGTTTGAGAAGCCTCAGCAGGTTATTGAGAACTATTTGATAATGTACCAATATGTATAGATGAACTTTAATTTAGTTCATGTTACTTGTAGAATTTCTTTCCCCCCATTAGAATTCAATAGCCATCACATTTTAAAATGTATTAATTTCCAGAACAAGGATTAACTAATAAACTTGATCAACCAACTATAGCTTGGAATTAATTTGGAGATTTTCAAAACTTAAGGGTGTTGAAAAGAACTGAACTCCGCATTTTCGGTTATACAGCATGGTTCTGATCACCCGTTTGGTCATCCTAAACTCAGAAAGCAAAGCATCCACATCCTTCCAGCTCTCATTTAGTTGCAGGAATTTCCAGTGCTGAGAGCATTTTGAACAATATAATACAAATGCAGTAATTTGTTTGAATTAAATTATTGATCCAGATTAATGGACATGTTTTTATTTTTAAAATCTGTATTTATTTCTTTATTACAGTATGGATTAGTCTTTATTATGTTGCATTCTATGTGGTAATCATTGGACTATTTGCACTTTCTATCTATTCTTTAATGAAGACAATTAATCCTTATACACCAGACTATCAAGATCGATTAAAATCACCAGGTATTTTTTTACATTTCTTCTCATTTTGTTATTAAATCCATATAACCCAAAATTATTTTATAAACTTATCTAAATTTATGGGAGAGAACACTATGAAACAGAACTAAAAGAAATTCAAAATTGCTCTTCGAAGTATTATCAACTGATTAAAATCTGATGGATCGATGCACTATAGATCCACCTCGATCTCAAATAATTTGGCTTCTGAGCAGAAATGTATATAAGAGGAAAAATTCCATCAAACCTCTTGTATAAGTACTATTTATCAAAAGTATTTAGTTTATTTTTTATCCTAGGATGATTATAACAGGAATAAATACATCATATACTACAGAATAATAAAACCAACAGCCTAAATGCAGGAAGAAAAACAGCAAGCAAAAAGCTGCTTTTCTACCACTTTGAGTTATATAGCTTTAAAAAAGTTGCAAATACAGAATTTTATATGGATTAAAGTTAATGTTATCACATATAGTGATGGGTAAAGTATAATTAACAAAACAATGGCCATTTTATTAACTAAACTTTAAACCTTACATTCCTTAAGACTACTTTGCTCAAAGGAAAAAAAACAGTAGTAGGTTCATGACAAAATATATGTAATTTGAGATTATAGATTTCTGGACAGCTAAAGACTACATTGCTAAAATATATTTTGCTTTTAAATTTTACTTCATGCTAGATTTGATGAAAAAGACTTGATAAGCAAACAGTAGTTTTTGTATTTTTGTTCTTCTATTTTTGATTTATCGTTAAAGGAGTGACATTACGACCAGATGTATATGGAGAAAAAGGATTGGAAATTTATTATAACATTTCTCAGCAGTCTTCCTGGGATGGTTATGTTCTGACACTTCAGAAATTTCTTTCAGGTAAAGGCGGAACAGTGGTATGCAAATAATGTAGGAAACTGTAGAAGTTCTATTGAAAAACTGAAGGTTACAAAGAAAAGGAAAACAGAAACTTGAAAATAAAATACAGGATAGGTTGCGTTCCAATTAACAAAGTATTTGATGCAAAAACCTTTATCAAAGATTCTTACTAAAAAAAAAAACAGGAACAGGACAATATAAGGCACTTTAGTAGAGAAAACAATTTGACTACAAAAAGGGTAAACAATTTCAATGTTCCGCTTGCATTTTACTAAAATATATGATCGTATATTATCTGTAATTGAAATGTCAATGTCAACTCTGCGTTGCAACTTCAGTACAAGTTCTATGCACATTGTTCTATGTCATTTCCAGAGGAAAACATGAATCATAATGAGCATGAGTGCTCATACAATTTTAAATATTGATTTCTGCCTACGCAGATTTCTTTATCAAAGTGCATGGTGGAGGAAAAACACTAATTTTTTTACAGTTGGTTCTAAGTACCATTGAAAAATTCACACTTCTCTTCCTTTTATTTGTCCTAAACAGATGATTACTCTAAAGTTTTGTATTTGTGTTGAACTCATAAATATTCCAAAAATTTCACAATAGTTCACAAAATACAAAGCTACCAGTAGAATAAAAATATACAATTCAACAATAATAAACAAACAAATAAATGTATATTAGTGTAACATTCTATCTTGAAATATTATAATTATGATTACCATGCTAGGCAGGACATCCTTGAGAGCACAGAGTTTGGAAAGCTGTTAACCAGCATTTTCAAAACAAAAGTGGCTTATCACATCAAATTTACTGCAAGGAAGATGCTTATCATAAGACAGAGTTCATCTCCAATATACAATGGCTTTGAACTTATTTGAGACATTTCATTTTGGCTAGGAGTGATATGAGAAACAAATGATTATGGCTTAGCACTGTACAAACCAGATTATTATGGCTTGCTCAGCATTACATATGATCCTGGCCACTCCGATTTAGTTGGGATCCAAGAAATACTTGGCAGCTGTTTCCAAACTGACTTACCTTTCCCATCTGGCAAAACGTAATTAGGCCATTGTTGCATATAACAACTGAAATAACCAAGTTACAGAAGCTTAGAATTTGGTAAAAGGCAAGAACAAGTACTTTTTGAATTTATTATATAAACTATTTATTATTTATATTTATCTGCAATAGAAAATGTTTATTTTTCTTCTACTTTCTCACTTTAGCATACAATGAAACTATGCAAGAATGCCACAAAAACTGTAGTCAGGAAAATTATTACTACCAAAAGACATTTGATGCTCCAAATAATGAAAAATATTCTTGCAAATTTACAAAAGATATGCTTGAAAACTGCTCTGGTTTGACGGATTCCACTTTTGGTTTTCCTGAAGGAAGTCCATGCTTAATAATAAAGATGAACAGAGTAAGTATAATACCAGATGTGAAAAACATAGTTTAAAACCAACTAATAGTTAAAGGAAATTTTGCTGACAGGTATTTTATTACTTTCTGTACTGTGTTCTGCAAAGGATTATAAAAATATTGTTACAACATGAACCTACAAATGAGGGAAGCTTGAATATGCCCAATTTTAATAATTCTCACGACACCCAAGACAGAAAAACAAATTTTGGAGTCAAATACATAGAAAAAGCAAAGTACTGAGATCAGTTGCGGCAGTCACAAAAGGATGGGAAAATCTTCAGTTTGGTGGACATAAACATTGAATTTCTACAGCTGCTTAATGCCTACACTTGATTTATTAACCTTAAATTGCAAAACTTTTAACAAGGAAATTGTATTACAGATTATCAATTTTCTCCCTGGCAACGGGACTGCACCAAAAGTGAACTGCACAACTCTAGTAAGTATGTATTACAAGGTTCTTCAGATCTCAGGCAGCCCACACTTTTCACCTTTGCTTCTTAGTTATTAATCATCTGCTTTCCTCTCAAGGATGTTTCAATGGTTATTTCAAAACCTTTCATATGCCTCCACAAAATTATTAAAATAAATGCAATCTCAATTATTAACCACATACTTAAATTGGCAAGTGAAACAAATCTTGCCTCCTGAGGTTTGCAGAAATTGTACGATGACATGTATTATGCAGATGACATTTCACTGATACACTATTAGACATATTCCCTTTTAAATAATGAAACTTCCAAATAAGACCAATTAAACTCACACACAATAGAAAATATGGCTATACTGCTATATGATGCATTTACATACTGTAAGATAATATACACTGAGTCTCAAAGTTATCTCATACTAGCACTAATACTTACCTTATTTATGATCAACTGAAGGATGACAGCCCACTTGAAGTAGCATATTATCCTGCAAATGGAACTTTTAGCCTTCACTACTTCCCTTACTATGGACTCAAGGCACAGGTATGCTTTTTTCCCTTCAACCTGTTTTGTTATGGATAGGTTTGCTGCATATATTTATTAACATTTGTCATATGTATTTCCATCTCAGCCTAGCTATACTAATCCATTGGTAGCAGTGAAACTTCTCAACATTTCTTTAAACAAAGAAGTACACATAGTATGCAGAGTTATCGGCACTGGAATTACTTCAGATAATCCACATGATCCATATGAAGGAAAAGTAGAATTCAAAATTCGGATACAAAATTAATCAAGGTTTATAAAAACTGCACAAAGAATTTATGTATTATGTAGTTTTGTATGATTATTTGTATGATCTCAATTTCAGTAAGTGTACAGTTTATAGCAAAACTACTCACAACTTTAACAATCAATTGTATAAAGTTTCTTTTCATTATCTAGTATGCTTTATTAGAAATGTTTATTGGATTTTTCCACATCCCTGAGAATACCAAACATATTCCTGGTTTACTGCATATTTGGCAATGGGAGATGATTCCACTCAATGTGTGTAAAATTATGTAATACACAACTATTTATATATTGAAAAATATTAAACATAATAAATTATTTCTGGAATAATTCATATGATAAATTGGGCAGGAAGAAAAACACTGCTTTGCATCTCAACATATTTCAAGAAAAAAGTAAGAACTAGTGTATGAAAGAAACATATAAACAAAAGCTGCTGAATTAAATATAGCTCCTGAACCTTTTTTTGTGAACCTAGAAACTCCAAAACAATGGCAGTAAACTGAACCTGGGAATGATAATCTTATTGATTGTAAAGCAAAGCTAACTAATTCACTTGACAGTATTAGGATACATTGGAAGAAAATCCACAATGCTTCAGTGCTGTAGTGCCAGCAACAACATAATAAACAAAAACCCTAAATCTGAAAATGTTACATACCCTGATCTAAAACTATCTTATGTATTGTTTTTTACTGTTGTTTAATTGTATCACTGTTATTTCAGAAATTACTGATTTGCTTGACAGAGGCTTCAGTGGAAACGTATTTTAAATTGAATGACTTAGCATATTTTAAAGTGGGCTTGATGCAATTGTGTTGGACAAGTTACTTTAAAGCACCTAAATTATCTTAATATGAAGGCATTTTAATAATTGAAACCTACCTTACACATAGAAACATATGCACTTATCTGTAAATATAAAGTACATGTATTGAGCCAGGTCATCTTCATAATGAATCTTCCAACAAATTCATCACCTGCATGATGATGATAGGTAGGTAAAGTGGAAGCAGTGTTTATGGGTATTAAAAAGAAGTTATTGAAATGAATTAAAGATGAGGAGAGGGAATGGGGTACCACCAGAATTGGTCCATAAGGGAAAGACCAGAACGTTGCAACCATCTGTGACATTCTGCTATCTGTAATGAAGATGTCCATCAAACATTCTGTTGATGCATCTGCTTTTTGCTTCTACACCATGGGGATATATACCAATCTACTATATCAATATATAACAGTAAAATGTAAAAAGGCATTTAGAGCTATTGATATTTGCATTTAACATGCTTTTAAATTACTAGCTTAGTAAAATGTTTCCTACTCTGGAGAGGCACTCAAATATCAGTAAAATTTCATATGCAAATGGAAAGCATGTTCATGCATGTAGGGGAATCAGTTCTTTGCATAGCTTAATAATGAACTTGAGAATCTTCTAAGGCTCACAGTGGTAAGAATAACTGAAAATGGTACAATGGGGAGAAAAGTTTGTGATTCTATAAAATTTGTAGTTCTATATATCATTAGCGGTTCAATTCCTGCTGTACGTAAGGATTTCAAATTTTTTGAATGTGTAAATATCTACTTCTTGAACAAATCCCAAAATAAGAAACTTATCTGATGTGACATACAGTACTTAGAATAGCTACCATTTGATACATAAAATGAAGTATTTTATACTGATAGAATATATAAAGTCTCACATCATTTTGTGTTATTCAATTCTGAATCCCCAACATTGATTGTATCAATGCGCCCATAGACACCTTCCTTGGTAGCTAGCAGGCTTCAGTATTAAAAATAAAGAATAAAGCTCTTTTAATTTAAAAATGTAATGGCAAACTGAATATTTATTCTCAAGAAATAAAGTATATACAAAGAGGGACTGTTAAAACAGAGAGCTGTAGGCCAGTATTTGTTTAGAACCGTGCCTCTTATGTGAGATAAGGGGGGGGGGGGGGACAGGAGGTAAATTAAGATGGAGAACTGGGAAACTGAAAGACGTATTCTGGAACAATCTTATCAGTTTTATTTGTATAAAAGTGTATTTTATGACTGGTCATATAATGACAGATATTACTAGGCATACACATTTAATCACGTACATATTTGTGGGGTGAATGCAGTGTCCCAAGAACTTAGCAATCATCAGTGCATGCTGTTGTCTCTCATCATATAGATATAGATATATCTCCCTACTTACCCTTTAAAAGAGCTCTGAGACTCTTTTCCATACTGAAGAACCAGATGATAAGTCAAACACAACAAAGCAGAAGGTGAAAATAATCTTGATTAGAGAAACAAAATATTTGTTAAAAATGCCCACGCGTGTTTTATTAATAAAAACTAATAGTGCCACAATTAAACAAGTAAAACAAACTGCTTATATGCCATAAAATATTACAGAAAATTTATTTGTGTTTCAGTAAAAAGACTTCTGTCTTAAAACAGGCAGCTGACAGTATTTGTGCAGTTAATTCTGTGTGAATAAATTTAAAAAGACTACCACCTGTCCTGGTTTTTTTTTTTTTATAAAAAATGAAGTATTAAAAGTGATTGACAAGTTTTGAGTTAAACATAAAACATTCTCTATATTTAATTTCAACTTTATAATAGATTACTGGAAGATGTTTATGAAACAAATATAAACCATTTGTTTCAGTACATGTCTTTTATACCATAGACTTCTAAGTATGTAAACAACTATGTAACAAATTGTTTTCAAAATCTGCCTGTAAGAAATCAGGCAAATTTGTATCATAAGCAAAACTCATTCTAAACTTTCAAGACATTTACACAGCTATACCAGCCTGGCAGTAAACATTTGCCCCCAAATCATAACTCATATTTCTAACTTCAGCAAACATAGTATATAGAATTTGATGGGCTTACAATGATCAGTATAATTTTAAAAAGGGAAATAAATTCATACAATTTCTGCAAACTAACATTTAAAAGATCGTTTTTTGTTTGATTCTTTGGACATGGCATGATCAGCAAAATATAGTATTACATTTGATTACTATGCATCAGTACGATGTCACCTAAATTCAATCTCAATAAAATGCCATTCATGTATGCATTTTGACAGGTGGACAGATTTTATTTTCCATTAAATGTGGCTACATTTCAAACTTTATGACAACATTTAGGGGCAAAATGCATTTTCCTTCAAGTTAAAAATCCTAAGCAAAAGTAAATAAAAGTTCTGCATTAACACACTGGTATTAACACACACATCCTCATCACATGTAAAAAAATCTACATAAAAAACAAACAATCTTTACTTTATTGGAGGTGCAATTTTCTAAATTCAGACTCTTACCAGTATCTCCTTGATGAGACAATTTTGACAATCTCTTCCTAGAATTTATTCCTGCCGCTTGCTGAATTTTTAAAATAAAAAAGTCTACAGGCAAAAAGTATCAGTCATCATCATCATTCTCATTAAAGTCATCATCATCATCGTCGTCATCATCTCCAACATAAGACACTGGTGTCTCTACTCTGGAGCCGCTGTATTGAGATCCATTGGAACTTGTAGCCAACATTCCATCTCCTCCGTTTGAGTAGTCACTGCAAAATGAGCAAACTGCATTAATCTTTTAATTCCACCTTCCCAATTAATATGTTTAGCCAGGAGTGGGTAACTGCAGACTCCTAAGGCCAAATATTAAACTGCGGCAACTATTAAAAACTATTTTATATAAATTATGAATTAATGAATTAGTTATTATTACACGAATTACAAATTAATGGAATTCAATGTGGATAAAAGTAAGGTTTTTACACTAGGATCTTGGCGTCCTAGTGGACAATCACTTAAATATGAGTCAGCAATGTGCAGCCTGGGCTGCATTAACAGAGGAATCAAGATCGTGGGAAGTATTAGTATTGCTTTACAAAGCCTTGGTACGGCCACGCCTGGAATACTGCATCCAGTTTTGAAGAACATTTGCAGGAATTGGGTATGACTAATCTAATGAAAAGAAGGACTAGGGGAGATATGATAGTAGAGCTCCAGTACTTGAGGGGAACAAACTAAAGCACCAGAAGGCAAGACAAGAACCAATGGATGGAAACTAATCAAGAAGAGAAGCAACCTAGAACTAAGGAGAAATTTTCTAATGGTGAGAACAATCAACCAATGGAATGCCTTGCCTTCAGAAGTTGTGGGTGCCCCATCACTGGAGGTTTTAGAGAAGAGACTGGACAGCCATTTGTCTGAAAGGGTATAGACTCTCCTGCTCATGCAGTGAGTTGGATCAGATGACCTCCAAGGTCCCAACTCTTATTCTAAGTTCTATGTTCTAATTACGATTACCAAGGTACCTTGACACCTATACTGAAAGTATTTAGTGCAAAAATAGTCCCAGTGCTGACCTTTGGCATGGAACTGTGGGGCTCTATAAAACCTACTTCACTTGAGCAAGTTCAGACCCATTTTTTAAGAAGCATATGGGGAATTGTTTTCACTTACTGGCAGAGGATCCATTCAATGGACCCTGATAAGACTAGCCTAGCTTCATTTTATATACATGTTTGAAGTTCTTTAATATTTTTCCTGTTTGAAGCTTTAAGACAGGAATAGGTAGTCTGGCCCTCATCTGGTTCCCAGCTCCTTTGAAGCTTACAAATTCAGTGGCAAAATGGTCAATTTTGGCAACTGAAAAGGAAAATTTCTTAAGATGTCTTTTGATAAGCTGGTATATTAAAATGTTTCTGAGATATCTATTTAGATCACTTTTTAATTAAATAATAATAATAATAATAAATTTAATTTATATGCCGCCCTTCTCCCAACGGGACTCAGGGCGGCGCACAACATATTTAAAACAAAACATAAATACATTCCCCCCCGATAAAACCGAATTAAATCAAATTTTAAAGTTGTGTCTCTGTCAAATTGTTAAAAGATAAACCCCAAATAAAATCCTCCCTAGGTCAGGTNATGTAACAATTAACAATAAAAAATGAAATAATATAGTTTTACTATTT